ATGGGCTGGCTCCCTGCCCAGAGACTGCATCAGAAATTCTGCTTGATGTATCAAACCCTCAGCAAGCAGGGGGGAGGGAGGAGAGCCAGAGGGGGCAAGGAAGGGGTACCACGGACAACCCCGACTTCCCTCCTTCCCTCTTCTCAGGAGAGCAGGGAAGCACCAGGAGATTCCCTTCCCTTTGACCTGTCCCTCTCCAGGAGGGCTTTTCACCACATCCTGATGGATTTGAACCACAGGAAACCAGCAGTGAGAGGGACCAAGGAGATGCCAGACGCAGCAGTCATGCCATGCCCTTCCTGTGTACACAAGACCCCACTTCTCCTGGGACCTGTCAAGGTTCACCAGCCCCACACTTCCCAGCCAGGCTCTTTCCTCCACCAGCAGGGCAGGTATTACAGCAGCAGCTACTCAGATACTTGGAGCTTCTGACTGCAATCTTAAATATCAGTCCAAAGCCACTCTCACAGCAGAGATCTGCTCTGTGGGGTGACACAAGTCCTGCTGTGCAAGCTCTGACAAGAGAAGCTGAGGGCACCTTGGCCAGTCCCACTTGTCCGTGCCATCTATTCAGAGGAAGCAGTGGAGATCTTTGGAGGCTGTCAGATCTATGGAACTAGTTCTTCATGCCATTTGACTATTTAATTTCATGGCAGGAAGAGAAGAGGGGTGGGTGTAGTGCATCTAGGGAAGGAAGCAAGTCTTCAGAAACCCACTAAATTGTTCCCAGACACCACATTTGAGCTCAGGAGACCTGGAGATGCGGGTAGTGGTGCAGGGCTCTGCCAGCCACCACTCGATACTCAAAGTTCCAGCACAACCCCAAGGTGGCTTTGCATTTGGCCTCCTCATATGGCAACAGAAGGGTGAGAAAACCTTCCTTGTTTTTAAGCCAAAGAGGGCATCGGCTCTTTATAAGGATCTCAGATATTTTGGAGTCAAAGAGGTCAGTTTTTAGGCTCCAACACCATCAAAGGCTCTTGGGTCAAGAGACATCTGGAAACTGTGGTGGTTGTTGTTAGTCACCTACTATTTCATCCTCGTGCCCTTTTAAATGGATCTTCTCTCAGCAAGGGGTTGACCCCGCGCTCCGAGGAGCCCCTGGAAGAACTGCTGACGCTGGCGGGCTCTGCATCACGCTGGTGCTATTCTGGCTCCTTCCCTGCCATGGCCTCCCCCCATTAGATGTCACAGCACGAGGACAGTCTCCTCCAAAGGCAGAGGGGAGAAAAGGCAGCTACCACTGTGCTTTTCAAGACAGTTCCGTGCAATCTTCACCCTCTCTGGAGGATGAACTTGTGAAAAGAAAAACAACCTGAGGCCACGTTGCAGAGCCTGTATCATGTCTCAGTCAGCTCCTGTGGACAGGACGTCCCTTTCCTGTGGTGCCTGTGAAATAAAGTGTCCCTACGTCGCCTCAAAATGCTCCCTGAGAAGAAGTGGTCTAAATATAATGCTTTTAGTTTCTCTTACCAAACAAAAGGGTATTGTTGGGTTTTTTGGGGAGGGTGAAACACCAGGGTGGATCACAGCCAGATGAGAGGGTAATTAGTCACAAGGAAAAATAGGATAACTGGGCCCTGTGCCAAAGGCAGAAGAGCAAGAAGAGCAAGGTCCTCAGGTAGACATGGCCAGGGCAGGTTGGGGCCAGGATCCAAGGCAAGTCATGCCTAGAGCTCAGCCTGGTCACTGGTGGGACATCAGTCCACACAGATGGGTGGGATGGGCCCTGCTTAGCAGAGAAGCCAAACCCTTTAACACATCCCAACCTTTAGAAACAGGGACACCGACCACCGCGCAAGGAAGAACTAGCGGGAGGGCCAGAGGGATCCCAGCCTGCCTACACGGCCTCTGGGTCAAATTAGCACATGGAAACGGGGACAGCAGCCAGATAGGTACTCAGGGGAAGGAGGATGAAAGAACAAACTGCAGCAGGGAAGGAAACAGGACTCCATTACACAGCAGCTGAGACGTGGAGCCAAGGTCTGGTCAAGAAAGTGGTAAGGAGATGGAAGTCTTTTTTTTTTCCGCAAGAATATCCTCAGGAATTGATCGAAATATCAAAGACTAAAATCTGCATCTTTTCCTCACATACAAAACCACCAACACAGATAACCACAGACTAAATAAAATACATCATTGCTGGTATCCACTTGCCCATCACAGACACTCCCCCTCGATCTGACTGGACAACCCTGCCCCACACAGGACCAGGGACCTGCCTCTACTCCATGGGTGTCACCAGCTACCAGAATTACTCCATCTCTCTTAGACAACTTCTTGCTACATCCATCACCTACAGTACCTGGGAATGAGATGGCCAAGAAGTGCAGCATTAACCCTAAAGTCACTCTCTGCTGCCCAACCACATCGGATTCTGGGAGCAGCCAGAGGAGGAGTCCCAGTGCCACTGTCCCTTGTGACTAGGGCTGGGCTTTCCCAGCAGGGAGGGAGGTTTGCTACTCACCTAGCAGCAGGTTCATGAGGACCTCCTGGCCCGCCAGCGTGCTGCTCTTCACCAGGCAGATGAGTGTACCCGCAATCCAGGGGATCCCGTGCCCCGTTATCCCCAGAAGGTTGATCATGGAGCGGGCACCACCCCAGGAGGAGGCTCTGTTGGCACACACTCCCAGCCTCTTGGACATGCAGATATCGATGGCCAGCAGCGAGTTGAAGGCGATTCCCTTGAAGGAGGGGTTGAGCTGCATGCAATCCTCCTCGGGAAGCTGCTGCGACTGCCTCCGCTCCTTGGGGTTGGTGTTCTGGGCACCGGCTGCCCCGGCCTGGCCGCTCTGCTTTCTTCCCGAGCTCCTGCTCTCCTGGTTCCCCTTCAAGGGCTGATTCAGGGAGAGGAACTCAGCCCTGTTGAGGACATTGTTCCTGTCCCTCGCCCTGGACCGTGGCTGGGATGATGGCATTGCAGTCTCTCTTTAACGCAACCTGCTTTGCGAATAGCGGGGAGGAGAGAAATCCCTCTTCTCCCTGCAGAAAGCTTCCCCCACTCCCACCCTCACAAGCTGTGAATTTGGGAAGCTACAAAGGTTCCCCTCTGTTGCAGTTGCCCCCAGCACAGACTGCAGCTGTTAAATATAGAGTAAGGAATGCACATGGCTGTTTACTTCATGGGCCTAGCAAGCTTGGAAGGAAAATTAATGCCAGGCTTGGCAGCCACTCCAGTGCCAGGGAAAAAGGTTAAACAGCCAATAGATTGGAAGAAGAGGAGGGAAAAACGTTGTGCCAAAGGTTGGTTGCTTCTGGCCTGGTCTATTTAAATCTTCCAATTGCTTATTCCCCTGGGCTGCAAGGGAAACTGGGAAATGTAGTTTTTTGTGCTGCATTTCACATTTCAATATCAGAGTCGGAGCTGGAGGAGATGACAGCATCCCCCTCCCCACAGCAGACGGTGTTGCTCCCACGGGGGGCTGTGCTGCCTGGCTTTGCAACACCAAGGCTGAGTATTGCCTGGGGGCTTCCCCCCAAGGAGCTGTCCCCAGAATCTTCTTGATTAGTCTGTTCTGCAACATCTCCCCCCCCCAGGCTAGGGCACCCCAAACACCACCCTCCTCCCCTAGCACAGATACCTTTCAAGCCCCACTAGCCCCATCCTCCCTCCCCGCTCGGGGTGAGCCCCTGCAGCGACTTCATCACTCACCCTGTTCCCGGACGAAGGAGAAGCATCACCTGCCTCCTGATTACAGGAGACACAGCGCCGCTAATGAATTCCCATCCTCCTGCCCCCGGCGCTGCGCGTGGCCTCGTTACCGCACGTGTCCCTGCCGTGTCACCCAGCACCGCACAGCCTGTGCCCAGAGCAGGTAACAGGCAGTGCCCGTGTCCCTGAGCTGCAGGTGTGATCAGCAGCTCAGGTACCAGCCCCAGCAGCACGGGCAGCGCGGGACAGGGAGGAGGAAAGCTCATGTCAGGCCCTGGGGAGTCCTCCAGCAGAGGACAGGGAATACCTGCTGTCCCTCCTGCCATGGCACATTGTGCTCCATCACACTGCATGGCTGCTGTCAGCCTCCTGACTCCCTGTTCCCCACCTCAGCTGGGGAGAACCCCTCTGAGACATCAAGGGATGGTCCTTGTGGGTGCCTTCCAACTCAGAATGTTCTGTGATTCTGTGATCTCCCACCTGCCGATCCCAGCACTGATCAGCCCCTGGGAACATCCCATTGGTGCTTGCAGCTCCAGTTTACAGATCTGAATGATCTTTCTACAGCCCCTGAACTGCAGCTGCACGGATCTAAGCTGGGAGAAGCCATCCAAAGGATGGCAGCTCATGGCAGTAACCACTTGAGCCAGGACCACCCTGGCATCAACCCAGTTACCTTCCCTGGGCAATGGGCTGTCGCAGCTCCACACCACTCACATGCTCCTTGAACAGGATTATTCCTATGCAAATAGGCTGGAAGTCCCCTGTGGATAGAGAATTGGAGAATATGAATATTACATTGAGGAGCAGAACAGCCACGTCTCATGGTGCCTGCTACATTTGACTACACAAAAGTCCAGTTACAGAGGTCAGGGTTAGTACAGGTAGTCCTGGGAACTGGACACCCAGGCATCTCAAAGTCTAGTCCAAAATGCACTTGAGAGCTTAAGTGCTAAAGGAAAGGCGGTTCTTGGCTTCTGAAAATAATAAGAAAAATTTTGCATTTTCTTCACACTTTTTACCCACAGTTCTCAAAATCCTCTCAGTGAACTGTGCACCCAGGCTGTGCCCATCTGACCAACCGACTGGCCAGAGGCAACAGCCATGTTTGGACAAGAAAGTGCTTGAGGTCCTGAGGAGCCCTCACTTCTGGGGTTTGTTCATATTTTCCTCCCTCAAAGGAAAATAACATACATCAAGTTATTTCTGAATCATACCCTCCAGCAACCTACCCCTAGTCAAGGGAGGTGATGCTGCCCCTCTATTCCACCCTGGTGACACCTTACCTGGAGCACTGTGTCCAGTTCTGGGGTCTCCAGCATAGGAAAGACACAGACCTGTTGGAATGAGTCCATGAAAGGCCATGGAAATGCTCTGAGGGCTGGAGCCCCTCTGCTATGGAGAGCTTAGCCCAAACCCTTCTGTGATTCTATGATCCCAGCTGGAGGAAGAACTCATCCCCTCCTCAGGCACCCCCACCCAGCCCATAAAACACAACCCTGCTCAGCTCAGGTACCACGTGGGGCTGTGGCAGCCCTGGAGCTTGCACAGAAGGTGCCACATCACCAACACCCCCAGCTCCCATCCGATCACCGGCTGTGCAGCCGCATTCTCACGCTATCGGGGCAGTCAGCACCCTGTCCCTATCTGCCTGCCCTCATCCCCCTGCCCAGCTCCCAGGCATGTGGAAAATCTCAGTCCACCTGACACCAGCCGAGGAGATAAATGTCATCATCACTGCTTTCACTTGCCTGTAGCCATCACCTCCCTGGATGGCCTCCCAGATTCTCCTGCTCCTTGCAGGGCTGCTGCAGCGTGGGGCTCTTTGCAAACATCAGTGGGCAGAGGGTTAAAGGTGCTGGCAGCCAGGAGGCTGCAGAAATAGGGAGACTCCTGCCCAGTCTGGTGCTGGGGATGCTGAGCTACAACCAAGCATGTTCCTTGGGAGCTGTCATGGGTTAAAAAATACCTTGAAAGCTTTGAGAGTGAATTTAATCTGGTGCCTGTCTCTTCTGCTGACACTGATATGAGGGAGTTTCTCTGCCCAAGCCGCCCTGTGAGACTCCAACCTCACAGCCCAGCACGAGTCCCTGGCGGGAAGGGCACAGGGGAGGAAGGGCAGTGCATGATGGACCCAGTGCCAGCAAACCCCTGTCAAAAGTAGAGTGGGAAAGGAAAGCTGTTTGGTCTCTCCTGCAGCCAGGTGGGCTGTCACTGCCTGTCCCAGTCAAAGAAAATGAGCTTGGGAAGGAAACGTCCCTGACCCTGCTGGGGCCACAACAAGCCCCGTCCTGCTATGCTGCTTGCAAAACAGCCACAAACCCAGGGGTTTATAAATATCCCTGCTAAACCTGTAGACAGGCTCCCTGCTCTGGTGGGGCTATTCCAGGCCTGACACATGATCCACGGGGGTCATCAAGCACCTGGGAGAATGCCCAGACAGACAAATCCGGCATTCTCCCTTCACCCATGCCCTGGCTGTGCTCCTCGTCATCCTGCCCACCCTCCCTGGCCCAGGGGCTGGGGGCTGCTGGCCACAATGCCCTGCACAGCTGTGGCCACACACGTTGTCAGTGGCCAGCAGGGCCATGCAAACCACGCTGGAATGTGGGTGGGGCAAGAGTGACAGCTCCAACCCCTTTCTCTGCAGTTCACTGGCAGCATTGGTGAATCTCAGCCACTGGCAGCAACTGGCCAAGAAGCAGCACTTGCAACCAAAGTGCTTCCAGCAAAACCGGTGTTCCTGGGTGGGATATTCTTCTAGGGACAAAAAGAAAAGCTTGGCCAAAATAAAATGTAATACCCTGCAGTATTTACTGCACACGCAGTGGTGCGTCAGCAGTGCCAGAATGGCCTCTGGTGGGCGGCTTTTATTGCCACTACTCAGGCAGTGCAGGGATACCCTGTCCTTTAATAAACCCAGAAAACATGCTGGAAGGGCGTGGAGACACTGTGCAGGCCATTATGCTGGGGGGAACCCCCACAGGAACGGAGCATGGCTGTGCTACAGTGAGACATGGACGGGTGCATCAAACGGGCAGCAGAAGGAAACACAACTCACACCATCACCAGACACTCCTAATTTTTACTTACCACAGCTTGGCCTCGCATCTCCAGCAATCCCATCAGGGAGCACCACACGCTCGGGCACAGGAACCCTTCTGCCCATGGCTTAATGCAGCCACTCTGGGGTGGGGTGTGCTAATGCCTTAATCACTCACAGCAGCCTGATGGAGACAGGCAAGACCAAAACCCAACGAAAACTCCAGCTGAAGATGAAAAGCTGATTTAATTAGAATGAGATAATGCAATTTCCTAGTTGACCAGAACACCAGAGACAGCCAAGTTGAAGCAAGACCTGGCTGAAGCTTGAGTGAAACTAAAGTCGCAGAATATGCAGTTTCACCAGATCCATGATGCTCTGAGAAACTGTGACAAGCTTGTTTGAAAAGTGTGAAAGAGTCTTGGAGATGTCAAAGGATTTCAGCACCTTCTGGAGGCTGCTGGATATTTCATTCGGAAGATGCTAATTTCATTCTTTCTTGTACTACACAGTAGTAAGTTGCTCGTAGCTTGAGCAGGTTCTTAGTGTTTCTCTCTGTCACAGGGCTAGTGACTGTAATTGTGCCCTTCACAGAGACTGTGAAGTTTAAAATAAATACTTCCCCAGGGCTTTGAGAAATGCGTGCGGAAGAAAAACATAACAATATACTGTGTTTTTTTCCACCCGCTGTGGGTGGAAAGGAGCAAATTTGCCTCCCCTCATTCTGTGACATTCACTCGTCAGGATCACCCAGTAGCTCCAGTCTCTCCTACCTGCCGAGGGCTAATCCAGCCTGCTGAGACTGCGGGGTGGGAAGAGCTAAAAGACATTTACTCATGTCTGTGCTGCTGTACTGCACCACAAGCAGCACCAGCAAAGCAATTTTTACCTCTCTGTTCCCCAAGTTTCCTCTTTAGAAACAAGTGACAGAGGACACTCTCACCCAGCATTCAACTCAACCAGTTATTACCAAAAAGGGAGAGCCGTATTCCATGAAAAGCTGGACACATGCACCTCACCTGGTGTTCAGATCCTCAGATGGCCAGCAGGACCAGCCAGCAGTGGTGCTCCCAAAACCATCTGTAATAGAAGTTTACAACTTTCCACAGGCTGCTGCTGCCTCAGATTCTTCTTACTCCCTGTTCCAGCTACTCCTTAGTCCCGCTGCTGCTACGGAGAGCTTTGCACTTCTCACTGCTGGAACCACAGCCCATCCAGCCTAGGGCTACAGGTTCTGCAAATAAGGAGACCATCGCCTTTGGTGCCCTCGGGTTGGTACCAAATTTACCTGCAAATCTTCAGCCAGTAGAGGAACATCTTGATCTGAAAACCCAAGAGAAAATATATTCTGTGTCCAAATTAAAAAAAAAATAATAAAGGGGGCGAGAGGGGAGAAAGGGAAAGGCGTTTCTAAAAGAAAACAAAAAAACTACATTACCCACAATTCACGGATATGTGGGAGGAAATGCTGCTTTTTTTTTTTTGCAAAGGAGGTTTAGCCTTCAACAGCTGCAGTTTAAAAGCGAAATACAGGGGGAGGGATGGCACTGGGCGAAGGAGGGCGGACAGGGCGGCGGGGGGGCCCCGGACCCGCAGCCGGTGCCGCTGGGGCCGGCGGAGCCAAGGGGATGCGGCGGACCCTGCCCGGGCAGCCGGGGCGGCATCGTTCGGGCACGCCCGGGGGCACCGAGGGGCTGCGAGCGAGTTCCTGCAAAGTTTGACCCCGTCGCCTCTCTGATGCTGCGGCGGCGAGCGGAGCGGGAGCCCCCCCGCAACCCCCCGCTCCACCGGCGAGGCTGAGACCCGCGGCCGGCGCCGTCCCCGGGTGCGCGAATGTATTGCGGGAGAGGAAGCCTGCGGCAGCCGGGAGGTGGAGGCACCGATCCTGCTCCGCTCACCTCCCCGGGCAGCTAAAAGCAAAAGAGGCGAAGGGGAGGAAAAAAAAAACAAAAACCAAAACAACGAAAACCAACCAAAACCAAACCACTCAGCGAAAGAGAAGGAGCCTCCCCCCCCCCCCCCCCGCCCCGCGCCGCCGCTCGCCCCCGCAGCGCAGGGAGCCGGGGCTCGGCGGCGCGGCCGGGGCTCGGCGCTGCTCCCCGGGATGCTGTGACGCCCTGCGGGGCCCACGCGTGTGCGGGGCAGCCCCGCCGCCCGCCCATGAGCCCCGCCGGCTGAGCCACCGCCGGCGCGCCCGGGAGCAGCAGCGGGAGGAGGAGGAGGAGGAGGAGGAAGGTCGGACACCCCTGCGGAGAGCCGCTCGCCGAGGAGGAGCAGCAGGAGGAGGAGGAGGAAGGGGAGCGGCGGGGCCGGCGCCCCCCGGGCCGGTGCGTGTCGGGGGATGTCACGGGCGGCGGTTCCGCGGCGCTGAGCGGGCGCGGAGCGGCGCGGCCCCGGCGGGCGCGGGGGAGGCTCCTCGCCGCCTGCCCCGCAGCGCTCCCGGAGCCGCCGGCCCCACCGGCACCGCGCTGCTGCCCTGCCCGCACGGCTATTTCTAAGAGAGAGAGACAGAGAGAAAAAAAAAAAAAAATAATCCCCAAAGCCCTGACATCGCTGGCGGAGGAGCCTCCAAATTGGGAGATTTGGCGACTTTTTGCGTTTTTCCAGCCGTCGTTTCTTTTCTGTTATTATTGTAATTCTGTGCGAAAGGAAGTTATGAACAACTGCAAGTCAGGAAGTGGAAATCCACACCGGTTGTGACAAGCTGGGGCTAAAAACTATTTCATTATTTATATAGATGTGTCTATCAACATTCTGCTTTTCATCCAAAGAATAAAGGGAAATACCGGCTAGTCCTATGTTTGACGGTGAATGACAGACCGCATCTGAGGAAAGGAAGGACTAAATATATCAGCTAAGAACACCACCGTTATTTATTGAACTCAAGAGACTTTTTTTAACCCAAAGACTGAGCAAGAGAATTAATGGGTCATTAAAAGGGGAAAATAATTTTAAAGGCCCTTTTGCTTCTGAAGCGCAGCTAACCTCAAAAATAGGAGTAGTACTGGTAAGACAGATACTCAAACTAAGGCTTTACGTGATGAATTTTCTATCCTATGGATATCAGTTTTGAGACTACAAACCCAGAAGATCTGTAATTGATCTAACACCAGATAATTTCAATGCCTAATATTCCCAAGGATTGCTGGAGTACCCTAGGAGCCGCGTCGGACTGTACTCGGGGTATGCCATGGGCTGTATTCAGAGTATTAGCTGCAAATCCAAAGTTTTCCGGGAAAGTATTTCAGTGATTGAAGTCAAAGCCTCCATCGATCCCATTCCCACCAGCATTGACGAGTCCTCCAGCGTGGTCCTGCGCTACCGGACCCCTCACTTCCGAGCCTCAGCGCAAGTGTTGGTGCCCCCTCTTCCCAAGAAGGAGACCTGGATTGTGGGCTGGATCCAGGCTTGCAGCCACATGGAATTTTACAATCACTACGGAGAACAGGGGATGTAAGTATTTCCAAGAGCGCGTGCGGGTGCGTTTGCCTAGCGGGAAGGAAGAGCGGGAGGGCCATGGCCTGGCTGGGGAATAGTGGATTAAACCCAAAAATTATAATCCAGATTTTAAAAACCAGCTCCTCTGAAACTTAACAGGACTTTCTTATATGTTTAAAGTACAGGAGAGCTTGTCCCTTCCCTATTAAAGGAGTGGGTGTTCTTCTCTTCGAATGGGAATGTGCCTGCCCAAGCCCCAATCAAACCCTACTTTATTCTGGTAGGAACCCAAAAGCAACACTATTTCACAACAGCTTTTGGGCAGCAGTGGAGATCCTGAAACCCCAGGGCAGCCCTACCACGGCAGGCACTCCTGTTTTGATACGTGTTTGACAGGAGTGGTTCTCCTGACCACCAGCTCCTCTCACCTGCATCCCTCCCCATCCCAACACTGCGCATTGAGAAGCCCCAGGGAAAGCCGAGGGCTGACACTTGTGGCACAGAGCCGTCCCTGGCGTGCTGTGCTGCTGCTGCTGCTGCAGAGAGCTGTGGCTGGGAGCTCAGTAGCCCACCACCTTTGGGAGCACATTTAACCTCACAGGAGGAATCCTGCTTGCTTAGCCCACGGTAGCAGGCAGCCCACGGGGAAAGCACAGGATGCATTTAACCCATTGATAATTAAACCCTCTGCATCACCTTGGAGCAGGGTGAAAATTTCACGTTACCCTCCTTATGGGTAATGTGCAAATGGGAATATATAGGTGTATATGCGAGGTAGGGGGAATATAGGGGCTGTTTGCGCACCAAAAAAATCCCCGTGTTACTGGTCAGACAGTCATAGTGAGACAGGAATGAGTCAAATTAGAATGTCACCTCCCTGCTGAGAAAAGTCGTCTCTCCCCAGTCCCCCCCCCAGCTTGTTCTCCAAACATTGTTGCAGGCTTTGGCCCGCAATTAAGTCAGCCCCAGCACCTGATCCCTAAATGCCCGCACAGAGCAGCAATTCTGCAACTCACGGTGCCGGGCAGCACGAGGTGCAGCCTCCTGGTGCGGCAGAAATCTGTCCGTCCAGGCACGGGGACAGAACCCGAGCGCAGAGCGCGGCGCTGGCAGATGGGTCAGTGGCTGCGGGCGCTGATGCTGCCCGGCCTCTGGGGGAAAGGGAGGAAGGACGGGAAGGTCAGGTCCGAGCAACCCGCCCGCCTGCTCATCCCGAGTGCCCTGAGTCAGGGGGATGCCGGCTCAGCCCCTGCAGGGTCAGTCTGGGTGGCTTAAACATCACCGAACGAGGAGGGCTGAGGGAGGAGGGGAGCACGGAGGGCTGCAGAGCAGGGCAATCTCGGACTTAACGCAGCGCCTTCCTGATGGCCTGAACATCTGCACGCACACCCCGGCCCTCCTTCCCTCCCTGCTGCCTGTAAGCCCCGCCGAGGACACGGGTTCAGCATCTCAGCATCACGCGAATCAGGCGCTGTAAGATGTGGACCAGAGGGAAGGGCACGCCGAGGAGCAGCCGGAGGCGACAGGCTGCCCCCCTTCTGTCCCCACGTCCCCTCTCAGCTCAAGCAGAAAGTGCCTGGAGAAGCGAACTGGCACCTGGCAAACACCAGCAGTGCAGACCGGCTCATCTTGATTTTAAAAGTACTTACAGCAGGCCCGAAATCTGTAGGCTTTTTGGCTCCAACACCATCTTTAGCAAGGACAATTTGTTGCTCAGATGTTCCCAATTCCAGGCCTTTGGGATTTGCATGTGTAATTCTCAGGCTCATTTAGAAATCCTGTCTTTACTGACCAGCTGCAAAGGAAAACAGAGAAGTCCACTGTATATAAATACAGCTCAGATGCACCGAAATAAAAAAGATTGGGCAGTGATGTGCCAGTGCTGCTGTGGGCTGCAAACCTCAGCCTGGCCTTTTATTTCCCTGCACCTGAGTTTCTCTGTGTTTAAAATGAGGCTTTGGTATGGTCTGCCCTTGCTGGAATGCTTTGGGACAAAAAATAAAAGGGAGTATCTACCAGCTAAGTGCTGTAAACAGGTAGAATTAAAAACTGCAGCTATGTAGGAGAGCTATTAGCCAGAAAATCATGGAAACAAAGATTTTTCCCTAGGAGGTTCCTTGACATTTAACTGATACTAAAAAAGTTACCCGAACATAAGCAGGAATTGGTCTGCTCCTCCACTCTCCTTCTATAGACCCGTTGCCATCTGAAAGCTATAAATAAAGGCATTTGGGAGGAAAGGCCTCTTCCAATGCCATCAGAACATGCTCTTGGAAGACCTTTATAGAGAGAGAGACAGGACACAAACCTATGGGAAAGGATGGGCCAAGCCTTTAGCTGGTGTAACTCGATGTAATCCCACTGACCTCCACAGAGCTGCATCGATTTATGCCAACAGAGTATTTGTCCCAACTTTCCATGATGGAGAGAGGCTACTGCCACATGCATATTTTTAATCACTGTCGTGGCAGGCAAAGAGAAAACTCCAAATAATCAAAAATCAATTGGTCAAAGAGAGCACCAATACTTACAGCAGGCTTTGGATTAATTTTTCACTTCTCTGCTGGGAAGTTGGTAGCTGTGCATAAGCTGGCCATTATATTGAGGATGGAAACAGCTGAGAAATACTGGAGCAGATGGAGCTGTGCATAATGCTGCTATAGGGATGGGAGCTACAGAGGGGATAATTTAGACACATGCGTTTAAAGTGGCACTGACAATTTTGGGGCTAAATGCAGCGTTTTTAGATGTAAAGGAAAAGAATTAAAGCTCAGATAACACATAAATGCTGGCATTGTTTTACTCAGTGTGACTCAGTAGATGCTGCTGGGTACATGAAAACCA